CCTCCGAAGACAGGCTGAGGGAGTTGGGGTTGTTCAGCCTGGAGAAGAGAAGGCTCCAGGGAGACCTTATAGCAGCCTTCCAGTATCTGAAGGGGGCCTACAAGAAAGCTGGAGAGGGACTTTTTCCAAGGGCATGTAGTGATAGGACAAGGGGTAATGGCTTTAAACTGGAAGAGGGTAGGTTTAGATTAGACATAAGAAAGAAATTCTTCACTATGAGGGTGGTGAGGCACTGGAACAGGTTGCCCAGGGAAGCTGTGGATGCCCCATCCCTGGAAGTGTTCAAGGCCAGGCTGGATGGGGCTTTGAACAATCTGGTCTAGTGGAAGGTGTCCCTGCCCATGGCAGGGGGGTTGGAACTAGATGATCCTTAAGGTCCCTTCCAATCCAAACCATTCTATGATTCTATGAAAGTGTAGTCTGGTACAGACACAGTATTCCAGATTGCTGGGGGAATAATCTTACAGAATAGTATAGAGTAAACCCAAAGCTGTGTAAAAAAAATAGCTGCAAAGAGATTGCAGATATCCTGGTACAAGATTCAAGATTATCATTTGCTCCAAGCCTTCTTATTACACTCTGCCAGTTTTCTTTTTGTCTGCTTTTTTCCTCCCTCATGCGTTTAATGGCTTAGTCACACATCAGAACTTTTTCCTACCAGAGAACGTCTGATCAAATAACAATTTGATCAACAGGCTGAAACCTGAGCAGAAACCCATGTGGTCAACAGACTGAAACAGAGATTACCCGACATTTGGAATTCATATAATCTTTGTCCAGCAGGGAAGCGGGCTATATTAACTTCCTCCACACACAATCTTACTCTGAAATAGTTGATCACACAGGCAGCTACTCCAAAGTAGCTACAGGACTTGAAAATTCCCTGCCTTTCTTTCTCTAAAATAATTTCCCTCTATACCTGTTGTGGTTTAACCTCAGTCAGCAACTGAGTACCACACAGTCGCTTGCTCACTCCTCCACCCACCACCCCCAGTGGGATGGGGGAGAGAATTGGAAGAGTAGAAGTGAGAAAAACTCGTGGGTTGAGATAAAAACAGTTTAATAATTGAAATAAAATAATAATAGAAATAATAATAATAATAATACACAAAGCAAGTGATGCACAGTGCAATTGCTCACCACCTGCCGACCGATGCCCAGCCAGTCCCCGAGCAGCGGCCCCCCCGGCCAGCTTTCCCCAGTTTATGTACTGAGCATGACGTCCCATGGTATGGAATGTCCCTTTGGCCAGTTTGGGTCAGCTGTCCTGGCTGTGCCCCCTCCCAGCTTCTTGTGCCCCTCCAGCCTTCTCGGTCGGTAGAGCGTGGGAAGCTGAAAAGTCCTTGGCTAGTGTAAGCACTACCTGGCAACAACTAAAACATCGGTGTGTTATCAACATTGTTCTTGTCCTAAATCCAAAACACAGCACTGTACCAACTACTAAGAAGGAAATTAACTCTATCCCTGCCGAAACCAGGACAATACCCTAGCCCTGAAGATTGCTACCTCAGTTCCTCATTTAACACTTCCTCCACTGTTTTTCATAGTTAAAGGGAGTGTGTTAAGTACAGTTTTTGAGCATCACAATCACCTAACATTAGCCAAGATAAACAGGAATTATTTTAATTTAAAGGACAGAAAAATTAAGAATACTTGTTCCTTCCAAAGACTTCCACTTTTTTTTTTTAATCTCTCCTGATTTGCATCACTAACATCTCTTAAGAAATTAGCTGAGAAAAATGAATTCTCTGAAAGATTTGTATTTTGCACTCCTTGGAAGTATTACAAACAAGTTCTAAGAAATCTGATTCATAATTTCTTCACAGTTTCATTTATTTTCCTGCAATTCATTCAGCACTATGCAGCTACTTCCTGCAAGCATCACAGAATTTAATGGGTCAAAAAGAAAACCTTCTGGCTCAATTTTCTGAATGATTACAAAGATACACAAATATTTCTCCGATTTTCCTTGGAAAATGCAAAGCTCGAGTTTTAGTTTTACATTTTACATTTTACCACTGAGGATGGCAAACTGACATTTATGGTTACCAGACTTTGAAACATGCAGTGCAAATTAAGTACTCACAATCTTAACTATAATCCAACTGTTACATTCTTAACTTACACACTGGTAAACATTTTCAGTCATTTGTGGAAAATCGGCCTCAATTACTCACTTCATGAGTAATCATCCAGATTGAAGTGCCTAAACTGCTGCAGTAAGAGACCTGCCTGCAGAGGAAAAACACCTCTTTGCTCTTGTTTCAATCACCACAACTCAATGAGGTTGCACAAGGACTAGACTGTAATACCACAAATTGCATATTAAGCCTTTTTTCCTTCTTAGCCTGAGAGAAAGCTCTTCGCATTTCATTCATTTCCAGCAAGTTCACAACATGACAAGATAAAAAAAGGGAAGAAAAGGGACAGAGAGGTGACCCAAGGAACAAGACGCCTAGGCTTTCTCACTACCAAAAAGGAGAAGTTTTAAAGGTATCATCACTACTATTTTGTGTCTTTATAGAAAGAAGATCTTCTATAGAGTTAATGCAATGTGACAGGCAAGCCTCTAAGCTCTGAGAGACAAGTTCTGGAACTTTGTTCTGGGAGTCTATGATTCTCCAAGAGATCCTTTGTATTGCTGCAAACAAAGCGATGTCCCAGCTTGTAACAATACATCTCTGCCATAAAGGTACTGAGGTAGTATTGCTGCCAAAACAAACCAATTAAGCAGCATCAAAACTGTACACTCATTAACCAGCACACTCATAGGCTCACAAAGGTTTGTGTCTTTTTAACTGCATCAGCTAAGCTGGTAGAAAACAGTCTAACAAACAAGTATGACAGCTATAGAGGTCTTACAGTAAACAATCCCTTTCCTAAAGGAACTTGAGCAACACTTAAGCTCTTTTTGGTGTATTAGAACAAGTGGGCAGTAATGAATTTGTACTTTGACTTCAAATATCAACCACCCCGAACATCTAAATAAACTCACTGCAAATATCAAGGCCTACCACTTCTTTTTAAATAGTTTAAAATTCTTTTTGACCTAAACTTTCTTCAAATACCCTTTGCTTTGGTTTATCTTAGTTCCAGTTTCTCAGTCTCTATGAAGCTACCCAGTCCTCCTTAGAGGAGGCTGACTCCGTTCTATTACAGATCATACTGTTCTGCAAAAGATTCATTTATAACAAGATCACCTCTGCAGTTCCAAGGGTCTTGACAAAAGTCTACTTATTGGCTTGTTCTCCTCAATACAAAGATATCTTGGCTATCTAGCCAGTTCCCTAATTGACACCACTATCTCACAATTCTGCTATGTAGCATGTTCCTGTTTTATCCAGTATTTAGTCTTCATTACATATTTCAAAATGTAACTTGACTGACAGCCACACAAAAATCCTCAATTCAATGGTGATGATACTTGAGATAATCACAGATCAAGCAAGCACAACATTCTGACTCTGTGCAGGCACTCTGCAGTACAAATGTGAACCAGGACCATTCTTGTTTTCAGTACTCCCCCAGTAACCACCATACGGAGAACAATAAAAAGGAACAAGCATTCATAGTGCAGGACAGCATACTACTGCCTATGCATCCACCTCAACTTTTGCCCCTATGAGCGCAATCCATTCACACTGATAGAGCATCAATTCCCCTCTCCCTGCCAAGCCTACAGTGGTATACTTCAACTAGGCTAAGTTATCATGTAACTCAATCACACCTCATTCGACACACCATGGTCCTCCTAGTACAGTAAGAAGCAGCAGCCTTAACTAGATGAAACGGCTGCAAAGCATTGCTGTAATTTACTTGAAAAATTCCACGGTTGTCTTAACAATGGTTCTCATCCCATGGTTTCTTTTCTCACACTGTCCAAAGAATAGGACAGCTATCAGTACAGCAAGGAGCTTACTAGTCTCATTTCCACTCCCTGCTCTGAAAAGAAGCTTTTGCAACTTCCTACTAGGCTGAATTTCACCACATCCTGAAGGAGGAGGACATAAAAAAAGGCCCTGGTTTTGTACTATAGCAAGAAGCACTTGGTCTACATGGTCTTACCTGTGCATTCCCTTGCGTTGTCCCACTTCCTAGACTTTTTGTGAAGAAGGAAGCTGAATGTGTTAGCAGAAAATAATCTAGTTCTATCCTAAGTTAGTCTGTTTTTCTGTCCAATTAGCAAGTTGGACTGGATCCAATATGCACCAGAAGTGGCACTAATTGGACCCTTCCCCTTCAATTAGAGTAAGCTATGAAATGCAGTTAACAAAACCTGTAGCCCAAACAGATGGCTGGCAATACTACTTGTCTTTCTAACTCTACCATTTCAGTTCTGTAAGCATCTCCCAAAAGCATAGTTTGATACAGAACCCAAGTCAGCAGAGGAAATGACAGCACCTGTCATATCCATGCAGCCAAGTCCAAGTCTACAACAATACTGCATTAAGCCTGCTTATCTACTTGGCTTACTTTTAATCTCAGAATCATATGAGCCAATTACTATGGTAATCACATGAATGCCAATTACTAGAATCCAAACAGTAAAGATGTTTTCACCTACTGTAGAAAACAAATACTTCAGTGTTTCCAGTGTAGAACATACAGCTGCAGTGAAAGCACAAACCAGAACTGACCTGAATGGCTGAGACACTGGAGAGCCTCTGTATGCTCCAGGGCCTGCAAGAACTCCACAAGCTCCACCACAGTGCAACCCCGATCTCCCAGTAGTTTCAGGAGACTCCAGCTGGGACTTCCTTCTGGCTCCAGCACTTTGAGGGAACACTGCTCTAAATCGAGAGGGCTACAAAATAATATGAGAAAGTCATGGCATAGACCTTCTTACTACTTTTCCTTAGAAAGGAGCAGAGTTAAAAATCACTCGTAGACAAACAAAAAGATTAAAAAAATAATAGAGATGGGAAATTCCTAGATGATTTGGACATATTCGCAGTTTTCCCTTCAAGTTTCAGGAGTTCAGAGGTTATACAGTGAGACCTCCACAGTGGTATTAGTGAGTTGCATGCTACAAAACAAGCGATGCTTGTACCTAACAATTCTGACCAAACGTATTAAGAAATCTTCTAATTTTCACTTCTTAAAGTCTCAGCAGAAAAACAAGTACAGCACCTTTCATTTTCGTGTGCCTAATCCAGAAGCGGTAAAGAGTGAGTCAGAATCTAACTTGAAAGTCCAGGAAGACTTTGATTTTCAGAGTAGTTGTTAAAACAAGTGACTGCTGCAGCTTAACTGATACACACATCTACTGCTACAGTGCAGTTAACTGCTCCAGTAAATTCATCTCCAGGTATAAACATGAATAGTTTTAAATTCTGGTGTTAAGTCTTCATGCACTTTCAATCACAGCAGATTAAAATAACACAGATAATAAGGAAATGAATACAGCTATGGAAAGAGAATGCAAGTTTAGCTATTCCCACTGAAAAGATTCATCGATGTTTCTTTCATTAAATCACAATGCCATGCAAACCTGGAGATATTTTCACTTATCAAGTAGACCTTCATAGTATTTTACCAGATAATACAGAAAAACAAACACAGCCACAGGCCCTACAGAGGGGTCATATTGTAGTCCTCAAGTTCTATTTCCCTATATTAATAAATATAGCCATAATAGAGAAAGGACACATCTTCGTAATGTACATTCAGTGCTGCACTTGAAATGCCTCATTTTTTTGAGATCCTACCCGCTGAAAAAAAATCTTGAAAAGCCACAGGAACTAAAATGATCAGGAAACAATCTAGAGAATGTGACCTAGGAAAAAAGAGTTGAAGAAAATGAATGTCTTTGCCCTCATATAGACAAGAGGAGCTACAGGGAACAGTCAACAAACATTTTCCATGTTCCCTGCCTAGGGCAAGCAGTTGGCTGCATTCGTGCTGAGGAAAGGCAGGTGAGGTACAAGGGGATGCTTTCCAACTACAAAGGTGGCAAAGCAAAAAAACACACTACTTGCACCCTGTTACTTCTTCGCTGGAAGCCTTCACGTGGGACTAAGCAAACACCTCCTAGAGATGGGCTACGTGTCCTCGATCCTATCTGCCCCAGCACAGGGGCTTCTGTTAGGGGATGCTCCCTTCCTTTGTACATTGAAGACACGGTCCCGTGTGCTTTCAGCAAGGGATGAGCTAGAGCGCGGCCTCAGGGAAGGCTCCGGGAGGGACCCTGCGGCCGGCGCGTCCCCTACCCTCGACCCCGCGGTGGCACCACGGCCTCAGCCTTCGCTCTG